GCAAATCATCTCAGCTTCACAAACTAGCAGGGGGAAGGAAGCGAAAATTAGACAAATGACGAAATAGGTAAATGACGAAGCAGTCGCATGAGGAATAGAACCGAACAGAACAGAGGAACACAAACCTACTTTTACTAAATCAATCCCTTCCTCTGTTAACTGGCCACACACTGTGAAGAGGTCTGCTCCACGACTCCAAGGCTCTTATTACCATGTGATTAACCTCTTCAGGATTAACCGGGCAGGAAAAGACACGGGAAAGGCCAAAGGTCAGTGCTCAGACAGCCACTCCAGCATGAAGGGTGGCCTATTAAATGAAAGGCCACACTCAAATCTGCCCGCTTGTCTTCAAGCATCTTTTTCAATACATATACAGCAGCATTATCCCGCAGTACTCATCCCTGCGTGTTAAATTCCAACAGCATGCAAGGTCAGTTGCCTTATTATCGTAAAAATAAAAAAACTGTTGTACTCAATTAGAAAAAGGCACTTTGAAAATATAAACACACCGCCAAACACCTGGTGTGTGTTGGCAGCCGTAAGACAGACTGCAGGTGGGGATGAATTAAAGCGAGACTACACCGGAGGAGGTAATCATGAATAAAACATCACACTCATACTTGTTGAGGCTGTAGCTTTTTAGCACTGCTATAACTCCTGGTTGTTGATTCCCAATGCAGAGGGAGAATGTAAAAAAGACGTTTTTTTTTTTTTTGTTTTGTTTTTTTTAAATAATGGAATAGATTCCAAAATAGATTTGAGACCTTGCACATGCTCACATGTAATTTTTAAAAATTCGGTGTCAAACTGAATTAGCAAGTAAATGTGTAGCAACTGAAAAGGAATGAGGATCCCTGTAATCTCTTCCCATGACTAATGCAATTTTGTCTTTGTCAGTCAGTTACTCTAACAGAGAAACAAAGATAAAAAAAAAAAAGAAGGGAGCTGGAACTAGCGCTGCACGGTTTCATTCCTTATCCAAGTCTTGTCTGCCACCATAACTGCTGTGTGTGTGTGTGTGTGTGTGTGTGTGTGTGTCTGTCTGTGCGTGCTAACAGGGGAGGGGCAGCGCATGGCAACCTGCCATTCCTGCAGAGTGTGTGTGTGTATCCATGACGGATGAAGAAAGCATGTGGGAATGTGTTAACCTTTCTGCCCAAACGGGGACGGTGTCTCCAACAAAAGATAATCACTCACACTTCCACAGTTTGGAAGATGTTTCTCTATTGTTTTGTATCTCTTGTTGTCCAGTGACAAAATTGTCAGAGCTTTTTAATTAGTCTTGCAAGGTTACAAATCTAAGAGCACAACCAGCCCTTCAACTGTATACCTGCATACTGGGGCTAGATATGGATTATAATTTTTCAATACTAGAGCCAATAACTGAAGATTCCTGAGTTCTAGTATCCTACTCCCGATAAAAAAGATTTGACCTTTGAAAAATGTGAACATTTTTCTAAACTATCTACTCTTTAGGTTAAAAGATGACAACTGTCAGTGCCGTGTTTACACCTTGTTTCTAAGATATAGCAGGTTTACTAAAAGCTTCTCAAAGCTAAATTATTGTTTCAAAACAAGCAGCCAAATAAGAACCATGTCAAAATAAAGTTTAAAATTCTGAAGTCTAAAAAGTTTAAAAGTGGCCAAATTTGATGAAAAAGTAAATAAGACTACAACTCTTACAATTTATGATGACAACTGTCTGTACTTAGCACATACCAAAACAGTATTGAGACACCCCATGCACAAATCTGCAAAGCCCAAAAATAATCTGATAGTTTTTTTTTTTCCTATTTAGTATCACTTTGCTGTGAGCACAATAACACCATCAACACCTGCACATTATGGGCTTATTTCAGGTAAAATTAGCTGTCCCAAAAGGTGCAAACACTGTTAATACGCCAGAATACTAAGCAGAAAATTTCACATCCAATCCATTTTGCCCCTTAAAATAAGAGTGTATAAGCGAGGGACAAACAAGGAGACAGGGAGACACAAACAGAGAGAAAGAATGTGCTTACTAAATCTCCCCTGAAGCGAGACCCCATCATGTATATTCACATAGACATTGAGATGAAAGCTGCTTGTGTTCTTCCTCTATGATCTTATCTGATTGTTCTTTATCTTTTTGTTTACCAGGGACCCAGATGAGGACATGCATTAAATCTCCCTTAAATCTCAGACTCCCGTGTCATGTTTTTTGTGCTCATCCGTCTTTTCATTAAATAAGGCAAAGCTCTGGTGCAACTCACCGCATCTTTAAGACCATAAAACAATCTGCGTCAGCACATGCAAAGAGCCGTTATAAAAAGGCATCTGCACACACTCGTATGTACAGGTATGTACAGTTTCATACACACACACACACACACACACACACACACACACACACACACACACACACACACACACACACACAGAAACTGAACCAATCGTTTAAGGTCTCTGAGGCCTCGATAAGCTTCTGTAAATCAGCCACCATCCGGCAGTGAGTTTTATTCCCCTCTCTCTCAGTGGATGTTGGGTTATGACCCACAGGCAGGAGGTTATTTATTGCTTTTGTCTCAGCTTGTGTTGACTCCCAGCCACTCATCTATGGTTCTAGGCTAATAGAAAGCAGCACAGGGTTGTAGATCTGCAGGAAGCCTGCTGAGCTGCAGGGACTCGCTCTCCTCAGAGAGCCACATCTCCCTCGATTTTTAATGACTCGCAATTCTTCAGCTTTCTTCCTTCACTTTTTTTTGGTAATGGCTCAATCAAAATGAAAATCTGTGAGTAAACCTGAGGTGAATGAGTCTCTATCAATAAGTGTTTGTGTGAATGAGGAAAAGAGGAGGGAGGGTTAGAGAGCTGAGGAACGCCCGCGGACCATAAACCCTTCCCAGAGGCTGCTGGCAGAGATGATAGACAGCTTGCAGCCTGCTGGCCTGCCTCCTTCTCCACCAACATGAGAAACATCTCTATTCTCAAAGATGGATGCCTCTTTTGTAATGGAAACTTGAGGCGTTGTGTTGGAAAATAATAAAAGAAAAGAGTAAACTGTTAATGTCAGAGTGACACTTAACCTTGAGGGTTTGTCTCCATAGCAATGTCATTTTTGAGAGCAACACGCAACCACATAATCTTGAAGAGTCTGCGAATTTCTCCGGTTGCTAAGAAGGTTGTGAAAGACCTCCTTCCCCTTGTACGCCTCCTTCTTTCTTACCTACACACAGCAGCTGTGAAACAATCTCAACAAGGCTGTCATCCTTTACAGTGGACGCTCTAACCTGAACCAGCAGGTCCAACCTCACCGTGGTTTGAAATACATGCCCACCTGCTGTTTCTACAGCGCTGACAGCGGCTGACAGTTAAGAGGAACAACCACAGACTGGGGATATATGAGGGGGTCCTTGAGTGATGACAGCACGGCTAAGATCAAGAGCTGTGATGTAGTGGAGACAAGGCCGCTGACTGATACTATGAAAGAGGCCAGTTTGTCTACTCCAGTTCATAACCATTCATATCCAAGATCTATGTCTGTGGGCACTAACAGCTAATAGATTAATTCTACATTGGTGTCAATTTGTCCGTGGGGGCAGTATATATGTGAGGGGTGTTTGTTTGCGTGTGTGTGTGATTGTGTGAACTGGGCCAGGGTCAGATGGTGTACAGACAGCCTCCTCGTTCCAGGATCACAAAGTGAACTGAAAACCTGTCGACTTCAAGCAAACCAAGATTTCACAGGAATGACTGTGCATTGAGGTGATATTACCTCTTGCAGGGACATGTCTCCACCCCTGTTAGCTCATTAAATTGTCTATCTGCCAGCAGAATATGGGGAGGTTTTCAAGAAATTAAAGGGCCAGTTAGGTTTTGAACCAAAGAAACAAGATTTAGTTTAACCAGAAATCAGATCTCTGCCTAAACAATCTTTGTTTTATAGCAATAACTAAGAAACTAACAGAAACTGAGGATTAGTTTCATATCCTAATGATATCAATAAAACACAAAAGTTAAGGATCCCCCCCCTGAAATCTTTTAACACATATAAAAAATACTGCTTTCAATGATTATATTTTGTGAATGGTATGTTTTCGCCTCATAAAAAAAGTTTGATTACCTAATTAAAAATTCTTAAAATTACATCTACCCCTTCTTCCCTCACTGAAAAATCCAGACACTATTATTTTTGTTGCAAAAGTTTCACTATTAGACACACAAGATTTCTCCTAATTAACAGATACAAGTTTCCACATCACATTTGTGTAAGCTGATTATCAAACCAAAGTTGGCTTTCAGTCTGGTTGCGATAACATACAGGTGTTAAACTGTGATTTAAGTTGAGCACGGAAAAACTTTCCCTTTTCATCTGATACGTGTGAAAACCAACACTGTTCATGTGTCATTCTGCACAGAGAAGCTCAAACATGAAAATGAAATAGCAACAAGGAAAACTTACTCCGAAGTCAAAGGATCGATTTCTCATGTGCTCGAGTGTGTGTATTATTTTTTACACAAGTGCACATGCGAAAAAAAAAAATTAAAAATCAATATAATTTCTATCATTTTAACTTGACGGGATGTGAGGTATGTAGTTCCTATATCTCTGAATGTTTGGGCACGTGTGTCTGGATGCTGTCATACAGGTATGAAACAGTGGCAGAGCAGTGACACGTAGGTCGACAAAGACTACAGATGGGTGACAAATGAAAGAAAAGACCTGAATAAATTACTGGAAAAACACAAACGTAGATGTTTTCATGAAAAGCATGATAGGTTTCACTGAATGGTTAGAAGAAAGTAACTTGCCGGGAGATGGGAGATTTTGAACCCAGGTATGTAACAGCTGAGGGGGATCTCTTTTTGACGAGTGCTGCTCATCCCTCCAATAGCTGAAGAAAAAGCACTGAGGCCGTTTTGTTTGCGTCACGTCATGGCTCTTTGACTTATTAAGACACTCGATGTTTGTTTTATTCTATTTGTCATTCGTCTGTATTGTTAAATTCTTTAAAACAAACCTTTTCACCATGTCAGTTCCGTTCCAGCAGGACATCCCGTCACCAAAGACCAGCTCACTCACACACAGCTGATCTGCCAGACCACCGTAGTAGGTGCGATAGTGACGTAGACTGTTCAGAAATTCCCTGAAAAAGCAGCCACATGGAGGCACACATATAAACAACTTGCTTATCAAAATGTTTTACACATCATTTGTAGATTTGGTGAACTAAAATCATAAAATGACACTTTTTTTTTTATGTGCACATAATTTATTTGGCATTTTTCGCCCACTTACCTTCTCCTGACAGCAAGCGAGTCTCCAGACGCTCTGATGGCTGCTGTAAGAGGGATGGATTCTCTGCTATTGCTGTGCTGGATGTTGGCTGACTGTGCAGGCTTCCTGCTTGGTGGGCCACACAGTTTATGCACCTATTACCCAAAGAGACAGACACAAATTTAGATCTAAACACTCCGGGTGGAAACTTGCATTTTGAGACTTTGCGAATCTTGTTAAACTGTTCTGGTGCATGACAAACGGGCCTTATTTTAGCTGCGGGAGTGACAGATGTTTATACTATGGCCATTAGTGCAGCCAAGCCCATCATCTCCAATTTCTGGATGTACTGCATTGTGCAGCCTGTCAAGCAGCAGTCACACCAGTCGACCGCTAGATGGAGCTGTGGTGTCTCAATTAGCACAGCAGAGGCAGTGCAGTTCAGGTACAAACATCCAGGGGCATTCACTTCACCTCAATTAGCATCAACAGAGACATGTGAAAATAAAGACTTTATGGTTCAACTTCTATGGGTGATGATGGATAAAGACTTTCTAGTGTGGGTAAATGAGTCTAAGCCTGAGGAGTAGCTGTTGTCTTTCTCTGTCTGGCTGGCAGTTTAAGTTCCTGACTGCTCTGGCGCTGCCCACATGGATATCTTTTTGGAGAGTGTTTGTCCTGCTCTGGTACGTGCAATTTCAAGCAATTTAACTCCGGTCTCCTCACCCCATGTGTATCTGACATGGCGTAAGCAACTTGAATAGCAGTGTAATTCAGTATAAAAATCACCCCAGGACTGAAATGCTTTATCCTTTATCTATTCTTCTCTTATTTATCCTGTCAGATTTACTGGTGATACTGGTTTTCACCTCCCACAGAGTCCCGGTAAAGTCTCCTCAAAGATGCTCTTACCTGTGCTGAGAGACGGGGTCCATTTTTCTGAGCTTGCCCGACAGCGTCATGAAGCAGCGTGTGAACTCCCAGGAGCACTTGCTCTAAATCCTGAGGTCCATGCATCCGTGCTGACAGGCCCTCCAGTGAGCGAACAAACTCCCTCCAGTGGGTGTCAATCTCTGCCATGCTTGCCAAACAGCCCCGCATCACGTTGAGGCAGTAACCCATGCAGGGCTTGGACTGGGTTAAGCCCTATGAAGGAAATTACTTTGGGGGATCAGTGATTCTGGTGAAGACTTTCATTAATTCAGATCGATAAACTCACTTCAGAGACATGCATCCATACCTGGCAGTGAGGACAGTAGTGCATCTTGAGCAGGGCCCGTCTGCACTCGCGGCTCAGCTGTAAGTGGTCTGTAGTATTTATGACCTCGATGCCAAGGTGCAGTGCCTGAAGAAGAAGCTTCCCAGAGACGCCAGAGCGAGAAATCTGATCCGCCAGGAGGCCAGGCGCCCCACCGAACGGTCTCACGTCACGTCTTGACGACCTCACACACTCGGCGTAGCCTGGTGATATGTCGCTGAGACCTGGGTTGATGAGGTGATTGTAGACCAGTGGGAAGAGAGCGTCAAAGAATCGCTGCACTAAGTCATCAACGCTGAGCTCAGATCCCAGCAGGAAGAGGCCGATGTCGGTGAAGAGTTCCCGCACAGGCCCCACGGCCTGATCAGCCATGCTGCGGTAAGACTCCTGAAGGACGGCGTTAGTGTGATTCTCCGCCTGCCTCATCAGAACCTCAAAGGTCTCTGTGGGATGAACAGCAGGAGAAAGAGAGACAAAAGATTACACAGGGACTTGGGTTCATTTCAACACATCATCATCTTTATCTTGCCTCAAAGATAAGTTGTCCCTGCTGAGAAGAGAAGAGAAGAGAAGAGAAGAGAAGAGAAGAGAAGAGAAGAGAAGAGAAGAGAAGAGAAGAGAAGAGAAGAGAAGAGAAGAGAAGAGAAGAGAAGAGAAGAGAAGAGAAGAGAAGAGAAGAGAAGAGAAGAGAAGAGAAGAGAAGAGAAGAGAAGAGAAGAGAAGAGAAGAGAAGAGAAGAGAAGAGAAGAGAAGAGAAGAGAAGAGAAGAGAAGAGAAGAGAAGAGAAGAGAAGAGAAGAGAAGAGAAGAGAAGAGAAGAGAAGAGAAGAGAAGAGAAGAGAAGAGAAGAGAAGAGAAGAGAAGAGAAGCTGCAGTTTCCTGTGTCTTTCCAGAAAGAAAAGTAGAGTCTGTGGGAAGCAATTTGTTCTCTAATCAAAAGCTGAACTGACAATGAAAAATTTAAAAGAAAAGAGGTTACATACAATGGAGTGGGAGCTGTTGTGATATAATATGAACAGATCTTCAGTATAAATAGTGTTTTAATAAACCAACCACTTCTATCAAAGCAGTGTGCGGTGCAGTGAGGGAGAGGGAAGGAGAGAAAGGCTCCTCGAGTTCTTGGAGTGAGAACAAGAGCAGGTGGATAAAAAAAGAGAAGAGAGGATGGAGGAGAAACATGAGAGAAGAAAGGCAGAGGTTAAGAGTCTGAAATGAGGGAGAAGAAAGGTTAGGAGAGACGGGAGGATGGATAATAGGTACTTCACAAATGAATTCATCAGAGAATGAGCTATTATAATAATGTCCATACATTTTGCATATAGCCCACATGTCATTATACAAGCATGCACACATGGCAGACTACCTGCTTTAGCTTTACAAGGATAAGATGCTCACTTTAAACCAAAAAACATGTGTTCACTATTCTCGTGATATGATGTTCCACTCATTTTTATCATGTAAATATCAAACAAATTCAGCTCAGCTGTATGTGACATGAAAATCTTTTCCGAAGGAATCTAATGCTCAGGCTGCTGCATCAGGAGGGAAAAAGCATATCATGCTGTTACTGTTTTGACTGCCACAGCTTTGTACCCAGTCCTGTGAGCAATATCTAGCTCTGTTTGCGTGTGTCTTTCCGTGTGTGTTTTAGGAGTGGCTGTTTGGGAAAAGTGTGCAGACTGTGCAACATCATATGGCATCCAACAGTCACGTAAGGGGGAGAGAAATGTTCAGGTGTGCCAAAGACACACTTGAGGATAGAAATAAAAGCTGGTTCCCACTGATTCAGTCCAAGATTTAAAGTGAGGAGAAAGACTTCGACATTTTAGGAATGGTTGTAAGTCTGTTAAATATAAAGTCGGAGCCAGGAGACGTTAGCTTAGTCCCGTGCACGTGCCTCATTCACATCATGTGAGTGGGAAGGTAATGATGGTAAAGATTTCCACATTCACGTCATCAGACAGCTCAAGATGGCAGCTGCAAGCAAATTTTTTGCTATAAAACGCTATTAATGGCGCAGGAGTTTAATTTGAACTGAAATTACGGTTGTTTTACTGTGGAGTTGGATGGACGCGAGTTAAAAATACCATGTTTGTCCAGTAAAGCACTGAGCATTTAATTAACTTTAACAATGGACTTTGGCTGACTTGAGACAGCCCTGTTTGCTTGCGTTTGTGCAGCAATTGTGCACTTTTTTTTTTAGCATCAGATGACTCTGACTTGAACATGGCAGTAATTCCCTGCAAAACCACAATTCTTTTCTTTTTTAAGGGTAGACACACAAAATATAACGCAGCTGTTTCCACTCTTAAAGCTAAGCTAAGCTAGCTAAGCTCCAACCTTATCCTACAACACATGAGCGTGGTATTGATTTTCTTATCAAACTCAAGAAAGCAAATAAGCGTATTCTCCCCATGTCAGACTTTTCCTTTAGCTTCAAGAGAACTGATGGCATGATGTTTTACAGGGAAGCACCAACCCCAGCTGCTCCATCAAGCATCCCAGTAAGTCATGACAGTGAACCAGCATGCATAACAACAGGGGGCTGAAACTAGGTCCCCTAAACAGAATCCAGAATCACCTTTTTTTTCCTGCTATAACAAGTCAAAATGTCTGCTGTGAAAAAAAGTCAGCATGGTCCAATATTAGTCTTTTTTCTTTTCTTTTTTTTTTTTTAAATCCATATTCTTCACTGTGAGGAACTGTATTTGATCTGTACTTGAGGGCAATAACACACTATCATAAGATCACACTTTAGAGTATGATTTCTCTGAAACATGAAAACAAAAAAAAAAAAACCTCTGCATGTTTTTCCAGACATAAAGGAACAACCTCAGTTCAACAAAGTGTTTCACCAGTGTAACAGGCTTGTCTTTATCCCTTTGTTTCACTTTTTTCAGTTTTTGTCTCAGCTAATACCTGAGCCATGGCCATTCTCACATCATGTGCTTGTCATGAGGTGTGAGGGAAATAGGGTGAAGGTCTGAAGCTGCCTAGGGGGGCAGAAAGTCTGGTGAGTCTGGGTGGGTGGGTTGTTGGGTGGGGTAACCAGTGTGATGAGGGCTTAGACGGTCAAGTGCTGTACAATATTCACCGATGTGGAAAGACTGACCGAAAGCCCCCTGGAGAGGGCGACTGTGAAGAAGGGTTTTTTTTTTTTTTTGGGGGGGGGGGGGGGGTCTGGCATGTCCACAGGCAGCGTTGAACACTAAAGTACCAGGAACTGCATTGGTTCGCAGGTCTTCTGTGATCTCGCACGGACGTGATAGGTCTGACGAGATCCGAGACTGGAATTTTGTGTGTTTATGTGTGGATGAGCAAAAAAAAGCTGCAACTCCCACACAGCAAGCACTCTGGTCAGAAAGCAGCACGGAAAACACAGAGAAGCGACAACAAGTGTGACAGCTGTGCAAGTGCAGTGTCGATGCTGTGGGTGTTTGTATGTGTGCATGTGCCTGTGTGAATGAAACAGACAGATACAAGGAAGGAGCACAGACAGGCAGAGAAAACAGAGAGGGAAAGAAATATGTGCTCGTGGAGTACAGTTAGAGATTACTGCAGCTCTGGGATGCATGAAGCAGAGCAGGCAGAGTTATGAAGAGTCCCACAGGGATTACAAGCTCATGCTTCAGGGGGGGTTTACCACATCAGTTTGCGGGGTTAATGAATCCCACCTGTCGGACCACATAACGAAAATCTGTGAAGTAAACAGATTTGTCTCTGTTGTGTCTACGTCTCTCAGCACTTTCTTCTTCTTCTGCTTCCTAAGACGTAAATCTTGCCATCAACTCCTGTACCATTTTTTTCCAGTAACAGCTAGGTACATAAAGGCAGACATAAAAAGGCATGGATAATAAGCTGATCAGCAATTCTGCTGTCTAAACAAGTCTGCTCTATTACAGGAACACCCACCCAGAGAGGTTGCTAGCTGTCCGGGCAGTATTAATGACATTATTTTTCACACCAAAAAAAAAAAGAGGAAAAAAAAAGAAAATTATGTGAAGCTGAGTCTCACACTTGGGGGCCTAGACCAGCGGCCGGGCTTCTGGGCAAGCCTGAGGACTGAAACATCTCAGGGGAGAGGAGGAAAGTAAAAAGTGGAAGAATAATGTAGCAGAGTTATAAGGAGGAGGATGAGAAGGAGGTGCATCTTTTACCTTTTTGAGATAGAAATATTTAAGTCTACTCTCTCTGGCGCTCTACTCACATTTTGAAACACATAGGCCAAATATGTGTCTTTAAAACTGCCGTAATCAATATTTTAACATCGACAATGGATCGCATGACCAAGTGTAATGTGAGAGGGTTCCCTCATAGTGAAAAAACCCCTATTCTCAGTGGAGTTTAGGGTCTTTCAGCTCATTGTTTTTGTTTTAAAGCCTGCAGCTTTACTGTGGTTTACTCTCACTGCTCTCATCAACCTTGTTTTCAGGAGCAGCAGATAAACCCTGATAAACCCACTCTACTCTCCCTGCTGAGCACCAAAAGACAAACAGACAAAGTTAGTAACTAGCTGGTGAGTAAAGACACACATATTTCTCTCAGGAGCTGGTGGAGACCAAAACAGAGCTAAGAGGAGAGTGTGTATTAGACTTTATTCATCAGGTGGTCAGAAAGACAACTGAATGATATTATTAATCTAAGTCTGCTGGATGTGTAAATAAGCAGATTCTTGCCAACAAGTTCACCATGTCAACTTTATCTCTCTATCCACCTTCATTCACACTATATCTTCATATTTTTTTTTTTATAACAATTCTAATTCCTTACATTTATAATGAGGATGCCACAGTGTGCTTGTTTTCCCTCTGTGTGTTCTAAGTGTCAATGACCCAGCTGATAAGAGGAGAGCAGACATGAACGCAGAGAAGCGGCTGAGGCAGCACGACAGAAAACACTGTTACTGAAGGCCTATATACCCACCCTGAACACAGGGTGGGTATATAGGTGTGTGTGTGTGTGTGTGTGTGTGTGTGTTTCCATAACATTAGCAAACCAGTCCCTCCACAGAGACTACTCTTAGATGTTTTTGTCAAGCATAAAAAGCTATGAGTGTGAATGAAAGCGGGAATTCAAGGCGGAGTGATTAAAATGATAGTAAAAACAAAGGTTCCAATAGAAATCAACCTTGCAGGCTTTGCAATATGAATGTGTGATGAATACTCGCATACATTGAATTGAGTAGTGGTTGGATTTGTTTGTTTGTTTTCATAGGTTGATTCTCACTGCTGGCCTTCAAATCCTTTCTAACCTGCCCTCTGCTCCTTTGTGTGGGACCTTTCATTTAGCTGAGTCTTTGTCCACCAGGTCTACAACCATCCTCTCTTACAAGAGGTGTGTGTGTGTGTGTGTGTGTGTGTGTGTGTGTGTGTGGGTAGTTAGATATTCACAGATAATCTGAGTCTTGATAACATTTTATAACTATGTAAATAGCCAGAAATATT